CACACCTCTGAGTCGCACTCGAACTTTAGTTCGTTGGCGAACTACCTGTGCACGTAACAAGTTGTTTTTTTTTTAATAAGAGCATCAGAGTCCCGTATATTCAAACCATTATACAACATCAAGGATATTGCGACCAACGTTACGATTAATCTATATATATTTGTGAATGTGTGTCTGTTCGAAATGTTTAGCATACTTCCAAACATGCAACAAACTTGAAATTTGGCATGGGGCTAGCTTCCAGACTGTACACAATGCAAAAAATATAAAAGGACTTTTTATTTTGGGGGGGGGGGGGCGCAATAATGGATATATTTTGCACGGCAATTGAGCGGTTACGTCACATATGTGATGTCACCCGCATGCGGCAGCGTTACGCAGTGTGCCTGCTGACGTCACGCACCCCCCCCCCACAATCCTCCGCGTAGGCCGTGTATCCTGCACAAATGCATAGAAAGGAAGCAGGGTCTCGGGCATGACCACCTCAGCAATACTTAATTCAGCTCACTTGGTTTCTCTAATCAAGGACATTTCACTGTCTCCAGATTATTTGCTTGTCAGCTTCGATGTAGTCTCTCTGTTCACCAAGTTACCTGTACCTGATACCACAGCAATCATTGAAGACTTGGTCCAACAGGGACTGAATCCTGATGTACCAACTTTGGTGAGGCACTGCCTTAGCAACACTTACTTCATCTGGAATGGTACATTCTACAAACAAAATGAAGGTACCCCTATGGGTTCTCCCTTATCACCAGTGGTAGCGAATGTTTTCACTGGAAATTTTGAAATAGATGCCATCCTGACATCCACCCTACATCATTCCCTGTGGAAGAGATAGGTAGATGACACTTTCGTCATCTGGCCACATAGCCTGCCAGCACTGAACCAGTTTTTCAACCACATCAATTCAATCCACCCATCCATCAAATTCACCATGGAAGTGGGAAATAATGGCAAGCTACCATTCCTGGATGTTTTGATCCAGAAGGGGCCTGATGGCTTGTTGGGACATTCCGTATACAGGAAAGCCACCCACACGGATTCCTATCTAAAGCCTGACTCCCACCACCATCCGGCCCAGAAGAACTCCCTCATCAAAACACTACACCATAGGACCCGCTGCATCTCCGTACGAAGCGCCAACTAGCCAGTGAACTGGAGCACATACACCAAGCCCTCAAGATGAATGGATACTCAGACCACACAATCCGCAAAGCTGTATCCCCAACCATGGGGATACAACCATCTGAGGACCTAATCGAAACTATTACCTTGCCATCCATAACAGGTGTTACCAAAAATATTTCCAAAATCTTAAACAAACACAAGATCCAGGTCGGATTCAATACGGTACACAAAGTCCATGATTTGATCCATCTGTGAAGGATATCATTCCTGACATGCAATACCCTGGTGTCTACAAACTAAGTTGTGTCTGTAGCAGCAGTTACATTGGCGAAACGAAACGACATTTCTCGGACCGTGTTCGCGAACACAAGGCAGATTTGAAACACGGCAGAACCAATGCCTCTGCAGTGACTGATCATTGTTTTTTTCCCGAGACCAAGGTACTCTGCAAACCTTCGGGCTACCATCAAAGATTTGTCTATGAAACCATCCAGATATATAAGCACAGAGACAATTTCAACCGAGAAGATGGGTATAAGCTGAGCAATCATTGGAAGGATGTTATTAACAAAGCAAAATTGAACTTACTGTGGTGCTTCCATTCTTTCCTGCCGTTTGGCTGTCATCTCCGTCTGCATTGCCCTGTTAGATGCCTCTATATTAATGGGCTGTAGTCTCATTAACATGGCCACCTCTGCTCCCTTAGCCTCGATGTATCGATGGTTCTGGCTGTATGATGGGCTTTGTGTCTCACTGGCGCGACCACTGTTGCGGTGGTTCTCTTGCGTGGACGCGCGTGCCTCACAGTGCAGTTGGCAGCGCCGCAGCTTGTGTTCCACATAGACATGACATTAACTTGCTAATCCTCTAATCTCCCGGCCTAATCTCTCCCATCAACATAGTGCTAATCTCCCATTAACACTGCTGTTGTGCGCATATGTGACGATACTCTTAAGTGGCGACGGTAGCTCATTTGATGCGAATCTCTCTCCCTAATCTCTCTCTCCCTAATCTCCCCCATTAACACAACTGACGTATTTGTATCCGGCGATGGAATTCCTTTCAAACTCAGACCCTGTTTGCTTGCCCATCGCCACGTAAATAACCTTGTTGTAACAGCTCTTTCGCTGGTTCAGTAGTTCCACTGCTGGATTATTTTTTCCGCCTGAAGATGACCGCTTGTGTTGCGATCGAAACGTCGTGATATATTATTTTGTTTATTTAATTTTTCTACCTACGTGACTTTACCAAAAGAACCAAAGAGTATGGATTCCTGCAGTCATTATTGTGCTTTAATGAATACATTTTATAATAGTGTGTCTTCGCAATGTTACACAGTAAATATAATCTTCAATGACAACTCTTACAGTCCCATCATCACCACCATCTTTATAATCACCATCATAACCAAATGTATCATCATTATCATCCTAACCATCTGTATAATCAATCACAATCTGTATCATCACCACCAAAGACAAATACTCCCCATATAGGCCGTATAGACTGTTGGGGTAAGTGCTGTTAGCGAGCACCTATGAAGACCAGCATGGCACACGAGGTCAACACCACACCCGGCCGCCTTTGTCTCTGCAGCAGTGTTTACACCACACCAGGTACTTATTTAAGGCTGAGTCGACCTAGGAGGCCCATAACCGTTTCAGATAGTCGTTTCCTGCATTGGGCATGAGTGAGAATTTACCTCGGGTCGTCGGGTTCATAGCACAGTGTGCTAAACGCTATGCTACCCCTACCCACCACCTGTATCACCATCATCTTCCAGAGTTAATATATTTCATGTCAATATCTGGAAATGCTTGTATTTGTAATAAACAATTCACAAGTAGTTGTCACTCACCCACACTCAAATTGTCAGAAAGGACTGAAAGATGAAATATCTTCAGAACTCTACATCCTGAAACTAAACTAATTATTTGTATTTTACCAGGTAAGGCCCACTGAGCTATATCGCACGCTCGGGAGTCCTGATTCCACTTCTGGGAGTGTCAATTACAACGCCATGGAATTGTATATGTTGACACATGACCAAGCATATGTGTTTGTGTGCACGTATGTGTGTATGCGTGCCTTCAAATGCACGTGCGTGTGTATGCGCGTGGCTGCACGTGTCTGCATGTGCGTGTGGAAAGTAACTTTAGCCATGACAATTGGGATCTATTAGGTTTAGGGTTAAGAGCTTTGCATACATAAACTGGTGGGTGTGTGAACTCACCAGGGTGGAGCTCACCTCACCGGTGAGCTGGTGTGTACGCTGTTTAATCTGTAAGCTCACTACTGTGTGTGTGCGCCCACGAGTGTGCAAGCTCACTGATGTGTAAACCTGCTGGTGTGTGCTCTTTGGTGTGTGGCCTCACTAATGTGCAGCACATTTTTGTAGAAGCTCACTAGTGTGCAAGCACATGAGTGTGCCGGTGAGTGTGTGTGAGTGCGGTGTGTGCGAGTGTGCGGTGAGTGAGCGGTGAGTGTGTGTGCCGGTGGGTGAGTGCGAGTGTGCGGTGTGTGCAGTGAGTGTGTGTGGATGTGCAGTCAGTGTGCCGGTAAGTGAGTGCGTGGTGAGTGCGTGGTGAGTGTGCTGGTGAGTGTGCGGTGAGTGTGTGCGAGTGTGCAGTGAGTCCCAGTGTGTGAGTGTGTTGGCGAGTGTGTGGCTTGACGTGTCTCCGTATCAGTATTACTCAGCCGATGCCTTCAAACTAAACCGGAAACATTACATGTGACACTGATGTCTACACGTGGGGCCTCCCCCAAAGCGGTCGGCCGAATTTGCCGTATACTAGGGGACGGCTCTTGATTTGGCATACGCGACACGCACGTTGTGTGCGCTGTGCGTGGGGTGACTAGCCCGACGTGCGTGCTGGGCAGGGCAAGGGGGACTGCCATTGATTGTGTCGAGACCTTTTGCATGGGTGACGAGATGAACGCCCAAATTCAACGCAGGCCGCCACACAAGGGCTGCACATTTCAATGTTGAGCAGGTCCCTGTGTGTCCGTGCGTGCGGGTTCGTGTGTGTTTTTTTCTGTGTGCGTTATGTGAGGGTAGCAGTGGCGCAGTGGATAGTAAGCGACGCTCCGAACCCCGCAAACATCCGAGTTGGATTCCCGCTCATGGCCAACACCAGTGACGATTATTGATCTGAACCGGTCCTGGGTCACCTCAACTTAAAATGAATACCTGGAGCGTCACCACTTGGGAGACAAAGGCGGCCGGGTGTGGTATTGGCCACCCACCCCCTGGTAGACCGTGCCGACCTTAAATTTTGATTTAAAGCTTTCGTGACTGCAGGGATTCATCTTCTTGTTTCTTTCGGTAAAGTCACGTAGAAGGGAAGTAATAAAATAATAAAAATAAAACATAATAAAATTATGCAGGATTAACAGCATCAAAGAGAGCTGCAGTTGCAGCTCCCTTTGATGCTGTTAATCCTGCATAATGCACATGCATATGTAGTACTAATCACATTCCTGCATTTCCCATAAATATGCTAAATTCCTCTTGATATGCAAATTCCTTTGTCAAGGCGCCCAGCTTATATATATGCTCCAAGCTCGTGTGCTGTTTCATTCAGATTCTGTCGCCTCGACGGACCTGGTTTTCACCTGAGGACGGCTGCTTGCGTTGTGGCCGAAACGTCGTGAGAATAATTTTATTATGTTTTATTTTTATTATTTTATTACTTCCCTTCTACGTGACTTTACCGAAAGAACCAAGAAGACGTGCCGACCTTCATAGGTGCTTGTCAACAGCACTTGCCACAACAGTCTGTTAAGGCTATATGGGGGATATTCATCTTTGTAGTGGGAAACCCGTAGGTGTGTGCATGTGAGGGCAGAAACCTGTACTGCTGTCGTACTTTGTGACCGGGCGAGGCCAATTTCGTCCTCATGGTAGACCAGGGAGTCCTGGTCTTCGTACTGCTGCTTGTTTTTGGCCGCAATGACACCCAACATGGACGACCCCATCACCTGCGTTCAAACAAGTGTTACACAGTACATACACACGCGCAATAAAGCAACCACAAAGCACATACACTATTAAATTTAATATAAAACCACTGTGGGTCATTCCGATGGCAGCACAAACAGAAGCTGCATCCATAACTTCCCAATCTCCACAGTCCCAGGCCAAGGTCCATCCAATTAATTAATACAAATATATACTTATTAGAGGGTGTTTTTGTTTGTTTGGGTTAGATCACGTAAATATTAGTAAGGTTTGTCACGTAAACAAAACATGCCAATTAGTTACTAGTTCAGCACATCGGTGTGTTGGAGAATAAACCCACAACATTTACAATTCAAGTACCGTGACGTTTCGCCTGTAACTACAACAACAACCTGCCTCGTCAGGCGACATACAGAGTTGTGGCGAAATCCTCCCCCTGTCTCGGTCTTAAATAGACGGGGGATAAATGTGATGTCGTCACTTGTAAGCACATCGTATACAAAGACTAAAGGGGGCGGGGGGGGGGTTATGTTTCCATGTAAATTACAATGGATATCTGTTATTGGTTGGGTTATTCACAGTTAATCAACAGACAATGGCACACGAGCAGTCCATGCGGTCCGCACCACGCCCGGCCGCCTTCGTCTCGCCAGTGTTGACGTTTACACAACTCTACTCGGTTAAGGCTGAGTCGACCTTGAGGGAGGCTCGGGACAGGTTCAGATATTCGCCGCTACTGCTTTTGGCCGTGAGCGTGAATGAACTTGGCTGGCTGAGCACAACGTAGCTACGGTAGCAAGTTGCCACGGGGTTCTACAGCAAAGTGGCAGAGCCCCCCCTCTACACCGCTCCCATCCCCCGCGCGGCCCTCACGGCCCCTCCACCTCACCGCGTGCGACTCGCACACACACACAGGGTCTACTACTGGCCCGTACGTGTTTACAGCATGTTAAACACTTCTTTCACGCCGTACATAGTGGACACTGTGTGTGTGTGTGCTGCGAGCTGAGTGGTGGAGGTACCTGGCAACAGTTGAACCGAGCCCACTCGGCCTCTTCACCCGTGGCGACCAGAGTACAGTCGTAACTATATTCTTGGTTCTTTCGGGTAAAGTCACGTAGATAGAAAATAACAATAAAATAAAAATAAATTAAAATAAAAGCAAAAAACCCGCGACGTTTCGATCGCAACACGTGATGAAGACCGCTTGTGTTGCGATCGAAACATCGTGGGGTTTTTGCTTTTATTAAAAATGTTATTTTCTATCTACGTGACTTTACCGAAAGAACAAAAGATATGAATTCCTGCAAGTCACGAAAGTTTAAAGTCAAAATTGACAGTCGCAACGACTCAGGCCTGGAGGATGCAGTGGACCACGTGGGCTTCAGGTTTGTTACCCTAGCAACCAGTGACGTCACTTCCCTAGCAACGGTCGACCGTTACGGACTCTTCTTCGTGGGAGGTGGACGCGCTCTCCGTGTGCTTGAAGATCGCATTCGGGAGCACTCTTCGCCCACGTCGTCAATAAACATCGTTAACGCGGTTAAATTACTTGGTAAACCTGACAAACATCAGTGAGGTTGAACGCTTCATTAACATAGTTGCCAAATCTATTGACAAACGTGACCATCCGTGATTTCTCTTTCGGCCTTCAAGGCGACATCTTCCGTGAGTACATCTGTATTCTTGACTGTATACAATGCAAAAAGTATAAAAATAAACGTTTGTATTTGGGGGGGGATGGGGCGCAATAATGGGTATAATATATTTCACACAAGTGAGCTGTGACGTCACAGATGTGACGTCACAGCTCGCGTGAAATATATCAAGTCTGTGACGTCACCACTCACTTGCCGTGCAATATTTCACATCTGTGACGTCACAGATGTGACGTCAAAGACATCACATCTGTGACGTCACCCGCATCCAGCAGCGTTACGCAGTGTGCCTGCTGACGTCACGCATCCCCCCACCAAATCTCCGCGTAGGCCGGGTATCCCGCACAAAAGCGCGGCGGGAAATAATGTATATATACTAGACTACAAACTTAAAATTTGGCATGTGGCTAGCTTCCATACTGTACACAATGTAAAAAGTATAAAAATATACTTTTTTATTTGTGGGGGGGAGGGGGAAACAATGGATCTGACATTGCACAAGTGAGCGGTGACGTCACATCTGAGCGATGCCGGGTAGTAAAGCTAGTTTCTGATAAATTATGTTAATCCTCAGGGACGCCAATCAGCATCAATGGGAGGGCTAGCATCCAAGGAATTTCACCAGTGTGCTTTTTTGATTCACAAATTGTCTTCTTTGATCTACAAATCGTGACAGGAATCACTGCTGATTAAAAAAAATGCCTCTGCTTGATCACTGCTTGGTCACGTAAACACAAGTATTAAGAATCATAGTTCGATCACTGCTTGATCAATGCTCGATCACATAGACACATGTAATGTGGTGCCATGTTGGTGAGATGTTAACTACCTCGCCTGGTGTACAGGAGATTGTGGGTTCGACCCCGACCCTGACGCCTGGCTGAGATCAATTTCCATGTGATAAGCCACTTTAATGAGTTATCATTTGTGACCAGGACACGTCTGATAAAGAGCTATGTCGTTCAGTGGGCCTTACCTGGTAAAATAAGAATTCATAGTTTTTAAAAATGTATTATCTAATTTGTCAATGCTGGAACACATAGAAACAAATATTCAATATTTTATTGCTCAATCAATGCTCGATCACATAGACACGTATTCAAAATGTCATAGGTCGATCACTGCTCGATCACATAGAAATGTGTTCAAAATGTCATAGCTTGATCACTGCTCGAACAAATAGACACATGCTCGATCACTGCTCAATCAATGCTCAATCATATAGACACGTGTATTTGAAATGTCATAGCTCGATCACATAGACACCTGTATTAAAAATATCATATCTGGATCACTGCGGAATCAATGATCAATCATTTCGACATACATATTAAAATGTCATAGCTCGATCACTGCTCGATCAAATATACACATACTCAATCGCTGCTTAATTAATGCACGATCTAATAGACAGATGTATTCAAAATGTCATAGGTCAATCACTCCTTGAACACATAAGACAGATGTAATCCAAAATGGCATAGCTCGTTCATGACTGACCCATACATGGTGGACACTAAGTATATGGGAGGTGTCACAAGTTGTGAGTCATGGAGTTAGTTGGCATCATTTGACCCGAGATCACTCAGCTTCATTATCTGTGGCGTCTAGGTGCTGTGGGTACGCAGTCTCCCAAGTGGCTCCAACAAGTGGTGACTTCGGTTCTCCGTGGCGTTCGGGAGTTCTTGCCGTGCGGTTGAGCATCGCATCTGGGACTACACTTCATCAACATCACCACTTCATCAACATCGCCAAGAACTTTCGTTAACACAGTTAACTGACTTAGTAAACTTCGTTGACTAACATCAACGAGGTTGAACACGTCAGTAACATCGTTAACAAAGTCGTTGACAAAGTGAACATCCACGACATCTCTTTGTACCGTCAAGACTATGTCTTCCGTGAGTACATTTGTCCCTTTTGCATTCGTCGACACACATGCACATATGTTACACACACCCGCGTGTCGCCTTCACACAGACAAACAGACAGACGAATGTCACCCTAGATTCGTATGGGCGGCTGGGGAAAGCGTTGTTAGTGCGCTTCTATTAAGACTAAGGCAGCAAACAAGTGATCCTTTTGGTCCGCACCATGCTGCCTTTCCCTCCCCAGTGTTGATGTTTATACACTGCACTGGGTCATCAGTGAAAGCTTAGTCGACCTTTCCCTATTTCCTCACCCCCGCGTGGCCCCCTACAGAACCCCCCCCTGCCTGGATGGGATAGGGGTTGGGGCACGGGAGGGGATGTGGGATCCACGTGGGGGGACAGAGGGCAAGTGGGGGGCGTCCCGTTGTGCTATTTTTCCGTAGACTTGCAATACTTTGCCGTGATTGGTCGAAGCGGTATCCACACGCGTGAAGTTAGATTTGGGGAGTGACACACGTGGGGAGGGACCCTGGGAGTGAGAAATAAAATTATGGTTACCATTGTGATCGTTATGGTGGTGATGATGAAGACGGTAATGATGGTGGTGGTGGTTATAAACTGTGATGTGAGTCTCATGTGCGCTGCTGTGATTTTGTTGCAGGGTGGAGAGAAGAGCAAGCCGAGGGGAAGTGAGTACTGAAATTCCACACACAGACATACACACAGACACATGCACCTGTATACAAAAACAGATCCCCGTATAGCCTTAACAGACTATTGAGGCAAGTGCTGTTAGCGAGTTAGCACCTATGATGGGGTGGGTGGTCAGCACTGCACCCGGATGCCTTTGATGTTTATACGTTGCACAAGATACTATTTTAAGTCTGAGGAGATGTAGGGGAGGCACACGACTGGTTTGATTTATTAGGCACTGATGGTTGTGAATGGGAATCGAACTCAGGTCGATCCTCACAGACACTACTGCTCCCAACCACTCATACAGACACTGCATATAGACACAAACAAAGACAGAAATATTGTGTATAGCCTTGAAACACTTTAGGAGCAAGTGTTGTTAGTGAGCACCTTTGACGGCCGGCACCTCACACGAGGGTGGGTTGCCAGCACCACACTTGGCCGTCTTTGTCTCCCAAGTGGCGATGTTTACACACCGCATCAGATACCTATTTGAGGCTGAGTGGACCTAGGGGAGGCCCCTAACCGGCTCAGATAACAACAACAGCCCTCATTCGCCACTAAGTGACGGAGACGTCACCATGGCGCTTGTGCCAGGCCTGGTGCACTCCGAGGCCACTTGAAGTGTCGAAGGCTTGCCGACAGGAGATCAGGGGACAGACCCCAGTGCGATGGGTTGACTGACTGAGATGACTCGCACCATCATTGCATCCTATTGTGCCAACTTGCTGCGTTTTAGTCATCCAGTGCACCTCCTGTTGTTGTGAGCGTCGCTCTTCTGCCCTCCTTATTTGCTGGGGGGAAATTTTCACCAACTGCCCATGAGCATCCTTCACGAGCTTCCTCCATAGAGGCCGATCTTGACACCAGTGGTACCATAATTGACACCAGTGGTACCAGTCTTTGGCAAGTCCACTCAGCTCCGTATCCTCCTGTACTGCATCAGTCCATCTCTTCTCCAGGCCGTGCCACGCCCATTTAGCCCCCTCTATCTGGAAAAACAGCAGCTGCTTGGGCATGTGGTGGCTGAGCATGCGGGCTACATGACCCAGGCAATGCAGCCCTACCCACCAGTGGAGCTCATTGATGGGAATGTGTCCATATCTTTCAAGGATTTGTGAGCTCTTCACACATTCCAGCCTAGTTAAACCCAGGGTGGATCGTAGGCAGGCCAGTCTGAAAGTTTAAAGCTGGTTCAGAGTTTTCATTTATTTGATCATTGGCCAAGAAGACCCAGTGCTTGTGTCGAGTGACAGGCCAGGTAGATACCCCACAGTGTTACGAAGCTGATGAAAATATGCCACTTGACCGATTCTGAGTGAGACCTCTGCTGCCAAACCGGAATTTTTGCATAAGCACACTACCCAGGTACGTAAACTTCTCCTGTCTCTCTACAACTACCCCATCACTCATGAGTAGTTGAAGGGCGGAGTATTAAATTATACAAAATACTCATGGGGGTGCTTAGTTTTGGTAGGGCTGATGGTAAGGCCCCACCTCTTTGTCGCACGCTCCAGGCTTAGCAGCAGAACTACCAAATTATCAGTGTACATAACATGGTTGACCAGGAGGGAGCCATCCCTTGACCTCACCCAGGCATCAATCAGCCTTCCATTGTATCTGTACCAAATATAAAAAAAATCCACCGGTACAGCCATAAAAAGCTAGAACTATGTGGTCGAAGATGATGCTAAATAATGTGTCAGCCAGAGTAGATCCCTGTCGCACCCCACTGTAAACAGGGAATTGCTCTGACTCCCGGGCAAACAACTTTACCTGGGCCTGCCCACTATCATGAAGGTCCTTAATGATTGGGAGCAGAGGGTTTGGGACTCCGAAAGCACGAATAACAATAAAGAGCCCTGGCCTACTGATTGTATCATAGGCCTTGACCAGATCAATAAAGCAGAGATGTAGGTCTCTTTGAAATTCATTACACCTCTGCTGTAGCACACGGAGAGAGAATATGGCATCCGTGCAGGATGCCCTCGGCCTGAAACCACATTAGGGGTCCGCAAGCCTCTCCTCAGCGTGCCTGGCAAGGGAATGTTGAATAATCCTTGCCAGGACCTTCCTAAATACACTGGGGTGGGAGATACCCGATACTTGTTGCAATGTGTGCGGTCCTCGTTCTTAAAGAGTGGGACCATCAGGGAATCCTTCCAATCCTGTGGAACCCATCTTGTGGTCCAGACAGTTGTGATGAAGACATGTAGGGCATTCTGCACACAGGCGCCACCCTCCCGCAGCAGTTTGATTAGGAAATTACCTTTTTCCGGCGCTTTTCCTGGTCTCGGACAGATGGCACCTCAGCCAGCCACTCACGAAGGGAGGCTACTTATACCAATATTTGAGGCAACGCAGCCCCAGCAGGGTCGTCCCCACCTTGCCCCATAATGTTTTTCTCGTCTGCAGGTTTGCAAAGCAATTCTATAAGGTCTTGGGGTTCAGATAACACACACAAACACACTGATACTGATATATAGGTATGCTAATGCCTCGACATTCACGAGGGTTAGATTCTTGAAAATTTGCGTGAAAGTAGATTTCGTGAATGCAGATACTATGTTTATATGGGGGAAAAAGGAGGTTTCGGGTCCCGTGTCCGACTGAACATATTGGAGAGTAAAAAATATTAAAAACATTAATTCTGTACTGTACACTTAAATAACAACTAAATTGTAATTAAATTGTATAATAATACATGTAGATAACTAAAATGAAACAAGAAGTGAAAGTCAAAGTGTCCTCTCGGGGGTCGTCCACATTGGTGGAAGTGCTGCCACACTTTCCCTAATTGCCTTCGAATTTTTTCTTCATAAATCTGACTGTTGACTCGTTTACCATGTAGTGGCGGCCAACAGCAGATGCACAGTAACCACGAGCAAGTCTATAAAACAACTCATCTCTTTTTTCCACCTTTTCCTCTTGCCATCACTTCCTTTACCCACTTGAGGCTGACTCCATTATCTAAATAAATAAAAAACACCACCATGAGACAAAAACAGGGGAGGCATGGGGAAACAAAGACGGGGAGTCAGACAAATATATATGGAGATGTAGTTCTGGCAGGTATTTATAATTGATTGAAATATTGTATTTGTTTTGGTATGATTGCTTTGTTAACTACAATCACAGAAGCCAAGGTTATTGTCCACATTCTTAGATATATAACATGTGTAATGTAGGATTCTGGAGACAGTAACTGTAGAGGCACCTTTATTTATATTACTCGTACTCACTAGACGACTCACTAAGCATATAATGTAACGCTGACCGTCAAGCTCGACGGCGCTAACTGACTGGATAGCTGGCTGACTATTCAGCAGTGGTGACATCGGGCAAGGACGGCAGCGATGACGGCGGCGGCGAGGACGACTTCCACAGCGAGACGACCCTGATTCCCACGAACATCCCCGAGCTCCCTCTCTCGCCCCCTTTTATGCTTCCAGCGGGGCCTGGCCCTGCCTTGGCCACGGCTTGGCCACGGCCCCTTTCTCGACCCTTCTAGCAGGTTCTGGGAGCTCACAGATGGATCCCTTCCATGACCCTTAGCCCAGTTCTTATCCCTTCCATGACCCTTGCCCCAGTTCTTCCCCTTGGGTGAGAACACCCGCAATTGCTACTTCTGGCAGCCAGTCGGTACTGCAACACTACACATGTAACGCATGGATTTGTTACACTGTTCAACCACACACACAGACACATTTTAATCAAAACAAGTCCCTTATTTGTCAAAAAAAATCAGAGTACCAGTCATCAAATATGCAACTGACACTTGGTCCAAAGAATACGTGATACTGTAATAGAAATACATGAATGGCTAAATTCAGAATTTAGGTTAATAAGGCATAACCCAGTGCATAATGACATAAAATACAAATAGTGCAACAAAGGAAATCAGTTTTCAGTCTGTATCAGACGGTCTCTGACGCTAGTGTTGAGAAGGTGACATGGCAGGCGTTTAGAAACCTGCTGTGCCGGTGAATGTAAAGTCGTCACACAGTGTCTTTCGAACAACACAACAGCCAGGTGCTTGGTGCAGCTGGTGACTTGCCAGGTGTGGTGGGGTATTGACGATGCGTAGAACGATGAAATTGTACTTCTTTCTCGAATGTCAGGTGTTGTTGGGCTTTGACGATGGGTAGCACGATTGTTTTCCTTCAGTATCCAACGTATAGAGGTGTCTTCACCATGATAATTATTAACAGGCTTGTTGGTTTACAGTAACTTTTTTAAGCTCATGTGATTCATGGCACGTGACCTTGCAGCTCAGTTTTGAGCAATGCCTTTCCTTCTCCAAGATTTCTTCTGCAACACTCACTTTAAGTCTTCTTAATTTCACTTGCCATATGTATGGGCTCAATATAAATTGACAATTGCAAATGTTAAACTTTGCTTTAAAAATCTCCACTGTTTTACCACTATACCTCTGAGTGGTTACTCAGCATTTCAGCCATTCTCGTGCATGGAATGACTTCTGTTGAGAGCAACCTCACATGCACGGGAGCACATGCTATCCAGCTAACATAAACATCGGGTTGCCCCTGGCTCTCTGGCCCCTCTGGGCACTCTCTGGGCTCCGGGCACCCCGGCCCTCCTCTTCTCCTCTCCTCCCTTTATCTTCTCCTTCTCTAACGTAGCCCACTAATATACTAAGTGTATGAATGGACCAGTGTATAAGAATTAATAGTGTATTTATTATCCGATTCATGCTCTCTCTTGTGAAACAATGGACATCTTATAAATTTAGCCAGACTTCCACAGCTTGGTCATCAATCCATCTTACTTTTTCGGAGATAAGGGAAGTTTATTTATGTTTGGCCTGGAGTTTCAGACCTCGCAAACTTAATAGGGCCTCCCCAGCCAGCCCATAAATCTAATGAAGTACTTTGGAGGAGGAGGTGTCTCCGGCACATGAGTCAACCTCCAGACCTCCCTACAGTGGTATCATTGTTACATCGGTCTCAAGTAAAGTTAGATTCCTGTCAATGGTACCAAGTTTCTTTACCAAAATAACATACAGGAAATGCGCATGTTTGTGTCCTCTGGTCTAACACCATTTGAGACGAGGCTCAAAATAAAGCTGTCTCTGGTGTGGACCAATCAGTTTCAAGGACAATGCATATATTAGAGTATTTTTTTGTTTGCATTCTGACCACAAGCATTGTGGTTAATGCAGACATGATTCCTTGTAAAAGGTATCAGTTTGGTGTTTTAATATCTTAACACCTGTTTTGTTTCCAGAAAAAAGGGCAAAAACCTATTATAATACAGGAAATACTCAAACACCCATTAATTAATCATTTGTGGTGCTGCTCTCTTCTCCCCATGTGACTCCCCAGACCCTGGCTCGAAGAGGCAGCGCAAGAGGATGCACTGTGCCATAAGACTAGAAGCTGAGCGCCAGATACGGGAGCTTGAGATGATCCTGCTGGATCGTTGTGCACAGCAGCAGGCCAAGTATCAGCAGGAGCTGCTGGAATTCCAGAACAGCACCGAGCTGAAGAGCTTCATCATCCACCACCAGCAGCAAAAGGCAGAAGAGCAGCAGCAGGCAGAAGTCAACGCTAGTAATGAGGATGTGCAGCAGACATGTCAAAATAGCAAGAAGGTTGAGAACGAGATGGAGGAGATGGAGAAAGTGGGGGAGAGAAATTGTATGAAGAGAAAACGTGGGAGTAGGAAGAAACATAAGAACAAGAAGAAAGTTCTGGAGGAGACGGTGAAAGAAGAGGTGGCTGAGAGAGAGGGGAGTGAGGGAAAGCCCATGCAGGAAATGGTGGAGGTTGGGATGATTGAGGTAGAGATGATTGAGACAGTGGCTTTGGAGGATGTGATGAAGGAGGTAGAGTTGAATAAGGTAGAGGTGTTAGAAGGAGATGGCAAGCGGGAATTAGCGAATGAGGCAGAGGTAGTGGTGATTGAGGTAGAAGCAATGGCAAAGCAGGAAGTGGTGGAAGAGATAGCGGCCAATGTCATAGATGGGATTGAGAGAGATGCAAAACAGGTATTAGCAGAAGAGATAGAGCCAAATGAGATAGATGGGAATGAGGGAATAGCCAATCAGGAAGTGGCAAAGAAAGTTGCGAATGTTGTGGAGACAAAGAAAGAGGGAGAGGATTGTGTTCAGAGGAAACGTAGGAATAGGAAGCTACGAAGGACTAAGATTAACGTTCTGGAAGTAGAAGAGATGAAGGAAAACGAGATTGAGAGAGAAGGGAATGATGGAGAGCCCAAAAAGGAAGTGGCGAGTGAGGTAGCGGTGATAGATGCAGTGGCCACGCAGAAATTTGTGAAAGAGGTAGTGGTCAATGTCCTAGAAGGGATTGAGAGAGATGCCAAGGAGGACTTAGGGAAAGAAGTAGAGGCAAGTGAGGTAGATGGGAATGAGGGAATAGCCAAACAGGAAGTGGCTAAGAAAGTTGACAATGTTGTGGAGACAAAGAAAGAGGGAGAGGATTGTGTTCAGAGGAAACGTAGGAATAGGAAGCTACGAAGGACTGAGATGGAAGTTCGCGAAGTAGAAGAGATGAAGGAAAACGAGATTGAGGGTGAGGGGAATGATGGAGAGGCCAGGAAGGAAGTGGTGAAAGAGGTAGTGGCCAATGTCGTAGAAGGGATTGGGAGAGATACAAAGCAGGAATTGGTGAAACAGGTAGAGGCAATTCAGGTCGACACGATTGAAGAAAAGGCCTTGCAGGTCTTGATCAATGAGGTAGATACGAATGAGGTAAAGGCCAAACAGGAAATGTCAAAAAAAGTTGAGAACGTGGTGGAGGAGATAAAACAGGAAGGGGCAAAGGAGGTTGAGGCATATGTAGTAGATGCCATCCAGGAAGTGGCAAAAGAGGTAGAGGAAATTGAGGGAGAGTCCAAGCAGGAGGTGGTTACAGAGGTGGAGCCGAATGAGGTAGAGGTGATTGATGTAGAAGTGGAGGTAGCAGTGATTGAGCTCAAGGCGAATGAAGTAGAGGCAGTCGAGGTAGATGCCAACCAGGAAGTGGCAAAAGAGGTAGAGGAGATTGAGGGAGAGTCCAAGCAGGAGGTGGTTACGGAGGTGGAGCCGAATGAGTTAGAGGCGAATGAGGTAGAAGTGACTGAGGTAGAAGTGGAGGTAGGGGCTATTGAGGTGGAGGAGAGTGAGGCGATTTTGGTAGAGGCGAATGGTGTAGAGGCAATAGAGCTAGAGGCAAAAGAAGTAGGAGCTATTGAGTCAGAGGCAAATGAGGTAGAGCTGAAGGAGGTCGACATGATTGAAGACGATACAAAGCAAGTGGTGAATGAGGAAGGGGGATGCGAGCAACTTTGGAGGGCAGACATTGTTCAGGAAGAGAAGAAAGAGATTAAGCACATCCCATCTTCTAAGGGAGAGAGAAAGAACAGTTTCTGGCGTTGGGCAATTTGGAGCTTCCTGGGCTGCACACGGCAGCTGGAGAACGATGAGGAAGAGGAGAATGAACGAGGAGACAGAGGGAAGGAGCGCCAAGACCAGGAGCTGGGAAACAAGAAGAAAGAAAAATGGTGGAGACTCCGCGGAGGGAGAAACTAGCGTGTTCTCCCAGACATAGACATTGAGACGTGGTTGGATGGACATGTATATCTATATATGTATATATATTTTAAGTTGTAATAAAAACGTACTTATGTTTCTTGAACTTGACTTCTGATACAAAAGATGTATTACCGAAGCGATCAACAGAAGGTGTCTACAGGATTAACTGCACTTGTGGCAAATAATGTTGGGCAAACAGGACGAACGATCAGCACGAGACTAATAGAACATCAGAGAAATATTAAATACACGCGTGCCAACAAGAACACTCAATTGATTTTGATAATGTTGAAGTTCTGTGCAAAACTAGCTACTACTGGCCAATACTAATTAGAGAATCTATCGAAATTGAAAGAAATAAAATCATTTTAACTGTTGGATAGCTACCGACTTAGTGCTGCCGTGGAAGCAAATCGTCAAATAATACATTATTTAATGCATGCCTATACAGGGTACCATACTTCAATAGAGATTTCTGTTGGTACTGCTATTTTAATACAATGGACAGGAAGGATAAGATCAAAGGGCTCGCATAATGTGCATGCATAATGTACGTTGGTTCATTAATCCCTCACCCCCCCCCCCCCCCCCACTTTGCACAAGAGCGCATAAGTGTGGTCACCACATCTATACCTCTTTGTAAGGAACGAAACACGTGGACTTCTACACAATCTGGCTATCACCTGATGAAGCTAGTTGTAATTACTGGTGAAACGTCGTACTCAGATTGTAAATGATGTGGTTTGGCTCTTCAACACACCAGTGTGCTATACTAGTGACGAATTGGCATGTTCTGTTACGTGACAACCTTACTAGTTGGCTGTGTCAAGTGGTGCCGGGTTTTAACGACCATGTATATAGTTACGCGATCTAACCCAAAAAA